GAGAAAACTGTGAAGCAAAGTCACGACCTGCTTCTGGATAGGAACCTTGAACTGATCCTAGAGCATTTCCCCAAGCCGTTTGATCCTGACGAATTAGGCTTTGACGATCTGTTCGGGAATACATATGATCGCATCATGGAGAAAAGTACCAAAGCAACGCCTGATGATGCATTGCAGGCAGGGAGCTCTCAACCTCCATCCTCCCCGAACAGCAATCCTCGAGTAGCATAGCCTTACTGTATTTTTTGCTTCTTTGTTTTTCTTGTATATTCCGGCTAGTAATGCCGAAGAATAAACTGGACTTCTTTCTTTATCTGTTATCTTTTTTCTATTCTTCCTTTGATTTTTTGTTCACAATCTTTTCTATGTGGCCAAACCTCACTCGACTCGTGTATCTTTATGTCTGACACCTTTCCCGAACCCGTTTTGATCCCTTTTCCGTTCGTGGCGCACGGGTTCAAAACTCTTAGCTGAGGTGAATTCCTCCAAGCCGTTTTGATCGTGACCACAGGGTCAAACTCTCAGCTGGGACAGGGGCTCCCTCCAAACTGTTAACCCGTTCGACATTCGGTCATCCGGAATGATTCCACGTGTTAACAAGCTGAGGTGAGACTATCTCCCTTCCAAACCCATAATTCTGATGCATTCCGAACTGTTTTTTCTGGCTCGTATCATCCATATTAGGGGTCTGAGGTAACCCTTTTCGAACTATAAGCAAGATCACCGAATTGGGTCATTCCTTACTTATAACTAAAAGGGCGACTCGCTTCCGAATCAAGTTCATGACTGAGGTGAGCTTTTTCAAAACCATAGTTCCGATTCCCCGGGCGACAATCTGTACCTTATCCGAACGTCGCTCGGTTAATCCATATCTTACAGTCTTGACACCATCTCCAAGCCGTTTTGATCCCTTTGCCCGTACGTAATTACAGGGTCGACTTTGGCCAAGTTGACGACTCAGCTCCCTCCAAACTGTTAACCTGTTCGTCATTCGGTCATCCAGAATGATTTTGCGTGTTAAAAAGCTGAGGTGAGAATCACTGTCCTCGAACTCCAGGCCATTTTGATCCCTTCATCAATGCGTAATTACAGGGTCAAAACTCTTGCTGAAATAATGGCTCCCTCCAAACTGCTAATATGTTCGTCATTCGGTTTTCCAGAATCGATTCTCATATTAACCGCTGAGGTGAGACTATCTGAGCGTCAAACTCCAAGCCGTTGGCTGAGAATGACTTTCCTTCCATGTTGTTAACTCGTTCGTCATTCGGTCATCCGGAATGATTAAGTTAACCACGGGCACCGATTTTCTGAGCCTCAATTCTTCAAGCCGTTTTTTATCCCTTTATTCCTTCATAAATCTAGGATCAAAAACTCCCTAAGCTGAGAATTGATTTTCCTTCCATGTTGTTAACCCGTTCGTCATTCGGTCATCCGGAATGATCGAGTTAACCACGGGCACCGATTTTCTGAGCCTCAATTCTTCAAGCCGTTTTTTATCCCTTTATTCTTTCATAAATTTAGGGTCAAAAACTCCCTTAGCTGAGAATTGATTTTCCTTCCATGTAGTAAACTCGTTCCTCATTCGGTCATCCAGAATGATCGTGTTAATCATGGGCTGAGTTTATGTGGAAGTTATGTCTCCCTCTCTATACATTTTTTTAGAGGTGGCAACAGCCGTTTTTACTGATAAAATTTCCTTAGATGTTCCACATTCCAAGTTCCTGCCGGTCGGCCTTCGGTATTTTGTAGGCAAAACGTTCCTGAAGCATACTTCTTACATATTTGGTAGGGGCCTTCCCAAATTTGTGCCATTTTCCCACCTTCGAGCGGTTTGCTTTTTTCTCGCTTTCTTAGCACCAGGTCCCCTACCTCAATTGAACGAACTTTAACTTGCTTATAAAAATATCTTCTTGTGGCTCTGTGATACTCTTCCATTCATGCAGCTGCCAGATCCCTTCTTTCTTCTATGAAATGCAATTCGGTCCGTAAGTTGTCTTCATTCTGTTCTGGACTGTAATGCACCGTTCGGTGTGTGGGAACTAGGATCTCCATTGGTACTTTGGCCAGGAAACCATAGGCAAGGGCAAATGGAGTCTCTCCCGTGGCCGTTCGGGGTGTGGTCCTGTAAGTCCATAGAATATAATTTAACTGATCAGGCCACGATGAGGAGTATTCTTCCAGCTTTTTCTTCATACCATCCATGATAGTACGGTTCATATTTTCTACTTGGCCCTTCGCCTGAGGGTACGCCACGGATGCTCTTGAATGCTTGATTCCCCATTTGACCAGGTAGTTCTCAAAATTCCGGCTCACGAACTGCCTTCCATTGTCAGTTACAATCTGTTCAGGGATTCCGAAACGGCAAATGATATTTTTCCAGACAAACTTCTGACATTTAACATCTGTGATGCTGGCCAGTGGCTCGGCCTCTACCCATTTGGTAAAGTAATCTATCCCCACGATGATATACTTGTTGTTTCCAGGTGCCGTAGGTAGAGGACCTAACAGGTCTATTCCCCATCTTGCGAACGGAAGGGCCACCGTCATTGGAGTGTAGAAAGTGGCAGGCCGTCCGAGGACCGGTGCGTATAGTTGGCATACCTTACATTTCCAAGTATGTGCAAAGCAGTCCTGTTGGATAGTCGGCCAATAATACCCTTGTAGGATGATTTTTCTGGCCAGTGTCTTGGGCCCTTGGTGGCTGGAACAGATACCTTCATGAATTTCTTCCATTATAGTCGCCGCTAGATCGGGTGGGAGGCATTTCAGATACGGACCACCAAATGTCTTTTTGTACAGCTGCCCATCTACCAATTCGAACATGGAAGCCCTCCTCTGGATGCATTTTATTTGATAAGCAGGATTTTTATCTTGTGGGAGGGTTCCGTCTTTCAGGTAGTTGGTCATATCTACGACCCAGCTCGGGACGGCATAAGATATGGCCTCGATCTGGAGCACCATGATTGCTGGGGTCGCCAATGTTTCCCGATGGGCAAAACGTTGGATATGAGCCGGGATCTCCTGTGCCCGATCGTCGAACGCTGCATTTTCTAACTTGGACAGGATATCTGCTTCAGTATTTTCAATCCTGGATATTTGGTCGAGCACCACCTGTTCAAATTTACTTATCTGCTCCTCAACTATCTCCTTGTAGGCCTTCATTCTCTCTTCTTTAGCCTCGGCAGTGCCGTTTACTTGATGTACTACCAATTGACTATCCGACCGGACTTTTAACCGATCGGCACCCAAGGCCTTTGCATATTTTAAACCAGCAATGAGAGCCTCATATTCAGCCTCATTGTTGGTTACCTTGAAGTCAAAATGGATAGAATAATATGCTTTGAACCCCTCGGGCGATGTAATCACAGCTCCAGCTCCACAACCCTTGGCACTAGCTGCACCATCCACATACATTTCCCACCAGTTATCCAGCTCATTGTTCTCTGAATCTGTTTCTGAGGGCCGGGTGGTACATTCTGCAATGAAATCTGCCAGGGCCTGCCCTTTGATAGTAGGCTGAGGCTTGAAATCCACCTCATATTGCCCGATCAGGAGGCTTCACTTGGTAATGCGTCCACTTGCCATAGGATTTCTCAAGATGGTGGCCAGTGGCTGAGTAGTATATATACACAGTCAGTGGAGGAGCTAGGGGGGGCAAGCGCCCCCGCTCCGACTAATTTTTTTTACTAGTATTACTTATAATATGTTTCTTGCCCCGGCTTCTTTTTTAATTTTAAAAACAATAAGTACAACTTAAGGTTATTTTAAGATGAAGTGTTAAAATAAATAAAAAAGTATTTTCAGAAAAAGTAAAAAAATGAAATATAGAATAAAAGGGGATTAATGTATGTAATGCATTTGGCATCCCAATTTGCCAATAATCCGGAGTAGCTCAGTGGAGACAGGTAACACGCTCCCTTTGTATCACCCGTGTTCGAATCCCCCCAAGGACGGATTAAGTTAAACTTGTTTTGCTTTTCTTCCGCCCCAATTCTTCCAATTTTATTTTCTTCAGCCTACAACTCATCCCACACCGGATGAAATAGAGGATTCACTCCTCATTTGAGCCTATATAATCGCTCCTTCATAGTTGATAAAGATTAAGTTGCTAGTAAAGTTTGAGTGCAAGTATTAGCTACAATATAAACAAATATTGAATACCCATTCGGTTTTTGTGAAAAAACCGAATAACCAGACCGAAAATTCGGTGTCCGAAAAATTGGGTCCCAACTTAGATCGGTTCGGTTTCGGGTTATAGAATATACGAAACCGAAAGATCGGTTCGGTTCGGATATTTCCTATTTCGGTTCGGTTCCCGAACCGAATCCAGCCCTAGTTCTCACTTCTCCCCATTTGTTCTCAGATTCTGCAATTTTCAAGTAAGTTTCTCATCTGCCAATTTATGCCCATATTAATTATTTGCTCTCATCCCTAACGAAAAGTCAGAAATTATTTGTGTGAATCCTCAAATCTCAGTTCTAGATGCAATTTAATGCTATTTGTATAAGGAACATTTTTAATTCATATTTATTTTTGTTATATTTAGGAGTATGAGTTTGGATAAATTTGTAATTAAGACTAAGAGGTCTTTGATTGGAGGTGTTAGTTCTTCAATTGTTCCTAATCAGACTATCTCTAGTGTTGAAAATGCCACTGCGTCAAATGAAAATATTGCTAGAGATGAGAGGAATGAGAGGGACAAGAGAGCCCGGACAGAAAGTACACATGAATGGGATATTATTAGTGATCCATTTTTACGAAAACCAATTAATGAATATGCGCCGGGGATTAGGGATGATGTGATGAGAGCATATGTTGTTAAAGGTGCTTGTCAACCAACATCTCATAAGTTTCCACGAACTGAATTTGGTAAGACATTAAGGAGCTTTCGAGGAGAGTAGTTTAAAACTTGGGAATGGTTGGAATATAGTATTTCTAAAGATGTCGCTTTCTGTTTTTGGTGTTACCTTTTTCATGGGCATGAAGGAAAGATGGAGAGCTATCAATTTGTTTTTATAGCCCACTTGATGAAGAAGGTATTGGGATTGACGAATATGTTGTCACATTTCTTGCAACAAAAAGATCAGAACATTCTTGAGGCTGTGAGCTTGATTAAAAGCACTAAAGAGAAGTTCCAAGATTTGAGAGAAAGTGGATGGGAAGAGCTATTAGAAGATGTCAGTAAATTTTGTGTGAAGAATAAAATTGACATTCTAAACATGGAAGATACAACTCATCGTTCTAGACGCGTTCGCCATCCGGTAACAAATTATCATCACTTTCGAGCTGATATTTTTTATCAGGTATTTTTTATTAAAATTTAAATTATTTATTAGTTGTTATTATTATTATTATCATTATTATTATTACTATTACTACTACTTTTTATTATTACCTTATTGTAGGTTATAGACCAGGTCAATCTGGAAATGGAGAATCGCTTTAGTGAGTCAAATACAGATTTACTCGCTTGTTTAGCTTGCCTTGATCCTAAAGATAATTTTTCCAATTTATGTGAGTCAAAGCTACTCAGTCTTGCGGAGTTATATTCATCTGATTTTTCAGCTGTTGAGCAAATGGAGCTTAAAGAACAACTCCAAGTTTGGATATATGAGATGAGAGGAAATGAAGCATTTTCCACTTTACAAAGTATTGGTGAAGTGTCTAAGATGATGGTTGAGCTTACAATTCACAAATCTTTTCACTTGGTCTATCGTCTTATTAGGTTGGCTCTAATGTTACCAGTTGCAACAGCCACAGTTGAAAGAGCTTTCTCATCGATGAATATTATCAAGACAGATCTTCGCAATAAGATGGGAGATGACTATCTTACGGATTGCTTAGTATGCTACATCGAAAGAGACATTTTTCAAGCAATTGATAATGAAGCTATTATGCAGCATTTTCAAAATATGAAAACTCGTAGGATTGATTTGCCTAGGTTGCAGAAGTAAATCAAGTAGTATGTAATGAACTATAATTTTTTGTTAAATTATTACGCTATTGTTGTTCTTATTATATTTTGGACACGAACTTTAAAATTTTTAGTCTTTGGTTTGCCCCTCCTTGGACAAACCTCTGGCTCCGCCACTGTAGACAGTTACCGGGTGGGTCTGGAAATATGGGACCAGACGTTTAATGGCAGCTACTAGGGCCAGTACAGTTTTCTCTAGCAAGGTGTACCTGGTTTCCGGGCCGTTCAAAGCCTTGCTTACAAAATAGATTGGCCGTTGAACGCCATCTTCTTCTTTCAACAGTACTGTGCTTACGGCCAGGTCAGCTACAACTAGGTACATATACAGATGTTCCCTTGGTTCGGATTTTGTCAAGACCAGGGGGGAAGACAGATACGTCTTGAAATCTTCAAAGGTCATTTGGCATTCGGCCGTCCATTCAAAAGGGTTGGCTTTCTTCATGATCTGGAAGAATGGAATAGCTCGATCGGCCAGTTTGGATAGGAATCTGCTCAGGGCTGCTAACCGACCGGTCAATCTCTGCACTTCTTTGAGATTTCTTGGAGCCTCCATATCCACAATTGCCTTTACTTTTTCAGGATTGGGCTCAATCCCTTTCTCGCTCATCATGTATCCCAAAAATTTGCCCCCTTTTACAGCAAAAGCACATTTTTTGGGATTCAGCCTCATATTTGCTTTCTGCATTATCCCGAACACCCTCTCTATGTCCAGGACATGGTTTTCCTTCTTCCTGCTTTTGATCAGGATGTCATCAACATATGCTTCCATTGTGACACCCAGCACTTCTTTGAACAACATCCCGATCATCCTCTGAAAAGTTGCCATTGCGTTCTTTAATCCGAATGGCATGACGATATAGCAAAACACGCCATCTGAAGTAACGAACGCCGTTTTCTCTGCATCAGCCGGGTGCATGAATATCTGATGGTAACCCCGGAAAGCATCCATGAAGCTCAGCAATTCACATCCGGCTGTTTCATCTACTAACAGATCGATCCTCGGCACTGGATAGGGATCCATGGGGCAAGCTTTATTCAGGTCTGAGTAATCCACGCACATTCTCCAAGTAGATTGCTTTGGGGCTAGGACCACATTGGATAGCCATTCTACGTGGATTACTGGACGGATGTGCTTTATTTTCAGCAAGGTGGCCACCTCCCGCTTTGTGAATTCCCGCCGTTCGGTTGCCTGATACCGTTTCTTCTGCTGGACTGGTTTTGCATCAGGCCGAACGGCAAGTTTGTGACATATTATCTCCGGATCAATACCGGGCATATCTTCTGGCCCTCGGGCAAACAGTACCTGAAACTTTTTTAGGACGGCAATCACGCCATCCCGGATATCAGACTCCAGATCTACCCCGATAGCTACCATTCGGTTCGGTGGGGAATCCAGATCGATCTGTTCAAGAAGAGTGGCGGGCTCTGGGTGTGCCTCGAACTCCGTTCGGTGGGTTTCCACTTCAATGGTATTAACCCGCATCCCACGAGTGTTCATCTGTTTTAGGGCCTCCTGATAACATGTCCGGGCTGTCGTCGGATCAGTTCTGGCCACCCCAAACCCAGTGTCTGTAGGGAATTTGATACATGAGTGGCGGACAGAGGCTATTGCCTCCAGATCTTCCAATCCCGGTCGGCCCAATATGGCTTTGTGGGCACACTTTATATCTACTACCACGAACGTCATTCGGAGTGACGCTTTGTGGGTTTCATCCCCAATTTCAACCATTAATTGGATGGTCCCCTCAGCCTCGATGCAGTTACCGGTGAAACTTGCCAGTGGGGTCCGTAGGTGGGTCAGTTGGCTTCTTTGTAGACCCATTTTCTCGAATGATTGTAGATACAATACATTCACACTGCTCCCGGTATCGACCAGTATTCGGCGGATCAAAGCATTGTCAATCCACATGCTTACCACCAGTTCATCCCTGTGTGTGCTTGGAGAGTTGGGTAAATCAGCTGGCTCGAACGTGATCGGGTATGTCCTTCCTTTCTTCTGGGGGGGAGCGGAGACGGATCCCACATAAAGACTTCGCTCGAACCTTTTCCGTTCGACGTTCGAATCCCCTGTCTCCCCGCCCCCAAATATTACCTTGACCTCCATTCGAGGTTTCTTTCCAGGGCCTCCCGAGCCCTCTGGTTCATCCCTGGGAGGAACATACACATCATTTTGAGGCTGGGCGTCACGTTGGGCATCTCGGCGCCAGCTATTAGGTTTCCTAGCCGGTTTCAACGTGCCTACAGCATTTGGATCTTTATTCACATACTTGCCCAGATGACCCCTTCGGATCAAATCCTCAATGGCCGTTTGTAGGGCCCTGCAGGCATTGGTGGCATGACCCTTCCTGTTGTGATATTTAAAGAAAGCATTGTTGTCCGCTCCCATAAACTGTCCAGAATCAGTCGGGAGGGGAATATTGTCCCTCTCGTGCTGATAAATGGTCGCTACTGATAGGACCAGGGGAGTAAATCTGCCTTGTTTGGGAGGTAAAGCGGCCGCTGGGCTAGGACCCAGCCGATCGACCATTCTGATCGGGGCGGCAGGCGCAATGACCTTATCCCTGATCATTATCTCTTCTTCTAGGGCGGCATGCTTGCGAGCCCTATCTAATACCTCGGCGTACACCGTACCCGGATTTTTCTTCAACTCTTTGTACAACTCCCCCGTTCGGAGAGCATTCGTGAATAGGGTAATGGCGGTATCATCCGTCATGTTTCCCACCGTTAAAGTTTCATCCCTCCATCTTTTCAGAAATTGATTGAGGGTCTCTTTGGCGTTTTGCTTCATGCTGGTCAAATAGCTGTAGTGCCATTTGGGATTGGCACTGGAAGCAAATTGGGCCAAGAATAACGCCGATAACTCGGCAAAGCTGTTGATTGACCCGGGCTGCAGTGTCCCGAACCACTCCTGGGCAGGCCCCCTGAGCGTGCTAAAAAACAACCGGCAAATGGCAGCCTCGGGTGCGCCTAGCAGCATGAGTCCCCCTTGGTAACTCCTCAAATGCATGTGGGGATCTCACACCCCGTCATAGATTTGGCCGGTCGGGGGCTTGGCACCCCCTTAGATATCTGCGTGCATGAGTTCCCTAGTAAACGGGAAAGTAATTCCCAGCTGAACTGGGGCAGGTTGTACAGGCGCCCTGTTCATCTGGTCTCACATTTCATTCATCTGCCTCCTCATCTCGGCCATTTCTTCCTCCTGGGCCGTCAAAGGGGGCGGTGGCGGAGCCCTCATATCCGTACAGTCCCGGGCCCATTCGCCGGTGGTTCTACTGAAACGGCGACAAATACTAGGGCTGAGGCGGAGGACCTTCCTAGCACTTCCATCTTCCTCTGGTGAAAGCTCTGATGGCACAAAAAACGAGGATGAAATGGATTTAATGGTGGCTGGACGGCCAAAAGATGTCCGCCGTCATTCCCTCGACCTAGGTTTAACTAGGGCAAGACGGCAGAAATTGACTCCCAATAATAGGGCCGAAATTCCGGCCCTAATCCCAGACCCAGTGGACTTTCGATTGCAAGCTGGGCTTCATCCTCTGCGTCACGCCCCTGGGATGATCGTGGTCCATTTTGATTCAGTGAGGGTTGGGCTTAGATTTCCGTTACATCCCTTTTTTATTTCATTTTTTAATTTTTATGAAATTGTACCTGCCCAAGTCATGCCGAACTCCTATCGGGCAATGGCGGGCTTTATCTGTCGTTGTAAAGATGTCGGTGCTTCGCCGACCTTAGATTTATTTCATCAATTTTTCAAAGTAGCCCCCCAACAAACTCATGGGTACCTAGTCGCTAGTTCCTGAACGGGCCACATTCTATTCAAAGGCAATCCAACCTCAATCAAGGGATGGAAAGATAGGTTTTTCTTCGTGTCTATCCCGGACGGGTTGATCCCTCATAAATGGAACGCCTTTCCCCGCAAGACTCCCGACCTAGTCCTCACTGAGGAAATCTATAAGGATGTACTCGATGTGGAGAAGGACAAGTGTTGTGATATCATGATCTACCTGACTCCCGATCGGATTGTTAAAGCCAGGATAGGTACTGCCCGTTCTCTTGGGTTTACTTGTTTTGAGAATCAAGTGCCATAGTCCGGGCGGTCCTTCCCGTGCGAGAAACGTTCCCTTCTTGTTACTAGTTTCTCACATGCTAAAGGCCGCTCGGTACTAACATTTCCCTTTGTCATTTTTCAGCTCCCAATCCAAACGCTATTATGGATGACAGTCGTGTGCTTCTTGCTGACGGGATCGGGAAAAGGAAGAAGAAAATGAAGAGGAATCCAAAAGTTGATTCACCCACCACTACTGCTCCACAACCCGAACCTGCACCGACCGTTCAGCAACCGAAGCCTATTCAGCAATTCTCTGGTCAGGATCATTATGACGCCATGATGATCGATGACCGCTTTGGTTTTTATCAGCTGCATCAATTTTCCCAACACTTTGATTCCGTTCAGGGGGAAACCTCGAACGTAGGCGGGAATCATACCGACCATATCACTGGTCAGGTCGAAC